CCTCCCCCATATTTATATTGGCAATGGAAGCAAACGTAGTTGGTAGGGGGGGGCGGCTAGTAGTAGTAGTAGTAGTAGTGGTAGTGGTAGTGGTAGTGGTAGTAGGAGTAGTAGCAGCAGTAGTAGCAGCAGTAGTAGCAGTAGTGGTAGCAGTAGTAGTAGTAGTAGTAGTAGTGGTAGCAGTAGTAGTAGTAGTAGTAGTACTACTACTACTACTACCACTACCACCTACCACTACTGCTGCTGCTACTGCTACTACTCCTCCTCCTACTACTACTAGCACCACTACTACTACTACTACTACTACTGCTGCTGCTGCTGCTGCTACTGCTACTACTCCTCCTCCTACTACTACTAGCACCACCACTACTACTACTACTACTGCTGCTGCTGCTGCTGCTACTACTACTGCTATTACTGCTACTGCTGCTACTACTACTGCTGCTGCTACTACTACTACTACTAGTAGATGATGTAGATGGTATTATTATTAGTAGTAGTAGTAGCAGTAGCAAGGTTAGTAAACATAGTAATGATTCTAGTGATGGTAGTAATAGTCGTGCCGGATCGAGACACCAGTCGGCTTGTCAATCACATCTTAGGCTTGGTCCAGGATGTCAGTTTGTAGCAAAGTGTTGGTGCAGATGAGTACGTACGTCGCAGGGTCTGCTTGCGGTTCTCCTCCTGTTCAACCCGTTTGTCTCCATATAAGCTTAGGCTTAAACATGGATCCTCGCAGTCGTTGTTGCTGCACGTTGATGAGGAAACCGTGCCTGCGTCCTCAGGAAGCTACGAAAGCATTGGGCAGGATCACTAGCGACAACAAGCCCGTCAAGGCCGGCAAAAAGCAGATCACACCGGCTGGTCACGCTTAGTTAGCTGCCTGTCCAAGTTTTGCAGCATTTTGGGCCCATGCCGGACCTGAAGCCATAGCCTACTCCAGGCGGGTGCAACTGTGGAGTTTGTATCGTCGCAATACTCAGCCTGGAGCTCGGCATGCCCTGAGGTTGCAGGGTTCAGGTCGAAATAGCGGCCCAAACAGGGCCCAGATTCTCAACAGCTTTCTTTGCGTTGTTAAGTCGGTGTTCTGCATTGCGTCTCACCTTCAAGGCCCATAAAGAGTGCCTATCAGATTTCTTGAGTTCTTGAGAATGCACTCTCAAGGCTGCCCACCTAGAAGCACGCTTCCGTGTGGGGGGGGCACTTCAATGCACATACACTGAAGCTAAAGCCAGGTCCTTGAGAGCGTGGGTACGGCCAAGTTTGGCTTGACACGCTCGGGCGACTGCACGGTTCCTGTCACAGTGCCCGAACATCCAATCCTGCAGCCACGGCAAACCTGGATTCTCCCAAGGTCAACAGACGTTGCGTTGGAAACCTGAACAGGTACTTTGGCGCACACGTTGTGGCAGCGCGCAAGCCGGGAAGGATTTCAAAATGCAGGCGCTGGAGAAGGGAACACGTCCAGCAGCCCGCTATGGTGTCGCAGTGAGTTACGACTCCACCACTGAGACAACATGCCTTTTGAGACGCATGCGGACGTAGCATCACTGCGTTACCCACAGTTGGGCTAGGAGGGGAACGTCCTCTTTGAGGAAGGTGAGACCGAAAAGGCAGGATATCAGTTGACTTGCAGATCGCGATTGCATGTGTTGCTTCTCATTATCTGTCTAGGGTCATTCATTGCTCTACATACCCGTTTATGCCTAAGGCGCTCTAAAATTTTCCTCTCGCCAAGTGGCACCCTATCACCATCCGGGAGTTTTGACTTATCGCTCAACACGTTTTCGGATGTCACATCTGAGGGACGGGTAAGCGCGTGCTGTTTTGGCTGGCAGACATGAATCACACAGTACAGAAGTCAGACAACGCACATATAAGCATGAGACAGTTGCGATTGGATGCATGCAGGATGCTATGAGTTCTAGTTGTACATGGCAAGGAGACACCATAGTGTAAGCCGCATCAGGAGACAAGGATGTAGGTGCTTGGCCTGCTGCAATGATTGCTGTACAGGAGAGGCAGAGATACCTTTCCACTGAACAAGATCTTGCCTTGCAGGGGTTCAGCGTGCTGGACTTGCAGAGGGACGCGCAAAGCCTTGAGGATTGTCAGAAGGATGCTGGATCGCTGCGTCGACGATTGAAGGCCGCTCCGGAAGAACTCCTGGATTGCTTCCTTGGAAAGCGGGGGTCCGCCCGTTTCTGTGAAATCCCATTTGATGAGCCATCAAGCCGGCGCATGCGTTGCGAGAACTTGCGCGACCTAAGCGCCTCAGTTCATGAAGCCGTGGGCTCCCTGAAGCTCATGGGTGCCTCCAGCCTCTTGGGCTGTCTTCTACATGAAACAGGCACCTGGGACAGCCGATCTGCGCCGCCTCTGCAAGAGCGTGATGTTGAGCGATGGCTTCCTCGCCTGCTAGCTGGGCAGCTAACAGCTATTGTTGCTCTTGGCACTGCAGTCGCAGACGTCGAACTCCATTGTATGGGCGCAGAGGTTGCGGTAGTTGAAGTTGCAGACGAGTCAGAAGAGGCCCCTGATGCTGCGGAGGCTGCTGACGTATCAGAGGAAGAAGAAGAAGATGAGGAGAAGAAGCCGCGCACGAAACTAGTCAGCCGAGGGTTTCCTGCGCGGCCACATCACATAAGACTTCCTGCCGGCAGACTGTTGCTTGTACGACCTGATGTTGTCTGGCAGCTTGTGGCCGGGGATGCAGGCGACTTCACGGTAAGCTGGATGTTTGGTGGCAAGCCAGAAGTGGACTGGGCTGTCCTAAGCAAGCCTCGCCAGCCTGACGCAAGCGCACCAGGCCTTCTCCGGCTACAGAGCTGGCTCAGCAAACGCCTGGAACAGCGCAGGGCCTGTTTAGAGGTTGATAGTCGGATCACGGAATGGCGAGTCATGGTCCCGTATGTGTACAAACTTAAAGCTCCAAAAACTCCAACCTTCGGAGCGGACCGTGTCGAGGTCTTTTCCAAGGGTGACATCGTTTTAGGCGCTACGGAGACCGTTGACAACAACCTCTGGCTCGAAACGCTGACAGGCCAACCAGATGTGCACGGACAGAAGATCAAGGGCTATATCGCCATGGAGGTGGATGGCGCATTGGAGCAAGCCATCCAACCAGTTAGAGACTTCTTGCCTGCTTGGCAGACCATCAGCGCCCACATGTCGTCCAGCACATGCCATCAGACCGTCATCCGAGGTGCATCCAGCAAGTTTGCTACCACTCATGATGTTCGACTCTTTTGGCCCCCGCATATGGCCGGAGCCGATTTTTGCATCGAGGTTCCGCTAGGTAGATGGGATCACACGCCCTACTTCTTTGAGGATGACGATGATGAGCGCTCACAGGACTCCAGAGTTTTCTGCAAGCATGGTGCGTTTATGGACGGTGCGGAACTGTTTGACAACAAGCGTTTCCAGATCTCTCCTGCGGAAGTCATATCCATGGACCCGCAGCAGCGCATGGCTCTAGAGTGTGCAGAGGAGGCTTTCTTCCACAGTGGTCTAAATCGCGAAGCCCTGGTAAGGTCTGTTTCCGGAGTGTATGTCGGTGCAGGTATGCATGAGTGGACTGTCACTCCAAACTGTGCTCGAGATGCTTCGGCTGACATGTACGGATGCACAGGTGGAAGCACGGCAATCCATTCAAATCGTATTTCATTCAACCTGGGTCTCATGGGACCCTCCATCACTGTGATTTGCGAGGGTGCCTCCTCGCTCGTGACACTGGAGCGGGGTTTCGTGTCTCTGGATCCGCAGAAGTCCGACAATGTCCGAGCGCTGTCAATGGGAGTTTCCACTATGCTTGTTCCGGCGACGTGGATAATTCTCTCTCAGGCTGGAATTATGTGGAATGGGTCAGTCCATGGGCGTTGTATGGCATTTGCTGCCGAGGCCTCGGGCTACGTTCGTGGAGAGGGCTGTGGATGCGTGGTACAATCAGTCCTCCGCGACGAAGAGTCTGAACCCAATTTAGGTATGCTGCGGAGTGCACGTTCCACGCAGCAAGCAGCGATTGCAGGACGGGCTGGGCTGCATGCTCCCAATGGCCCCGCAGAAAAGGCGCTTGTGTCAGAGGCCGTGTCTATGGCGAAGCTGGAAGCAGTCTCCGTGGATGCTGTGGACTGCAACGCAGAAGGTCGACTGCTGAGTGATGCCATAGAGCTGGCTGCCATCTCCACCATCCTCTGTCCAGAAGGCCAGGACGAGTCGCGGGTCCGTCCACTCCCATTGATAGCTTGCAAGTCCAACCAGGCTCACTGCCTCGAGGCTGCTGGCGTGTGCGCGCTTCTTCGTATACTCTTTAGCACGCGCACGTGCTGCCATGCTGCGCCCCTCCAGCATCTCTACAGCTTGAACCCGATGATTGGATCATCACTTGATTTTGATGCCTTTGGATGCCAGTTGCCAACCGAACTGGTGAGGTCTCGAAGTCGAGACGCCATTGTTGGCGTGAAGGGTCACAGCATCGTCGGAACGATGGGCATGCTACTAGTTTCAATTTCGAAGCAGCAGAGACCAGACACACAGGAGAGTTCCACAATGAAATCCTTGTCTTTTTGGCCGGCCGGGGCCGTGTCTTTGCCAGCTCATGCTTTGCCACAGAAGGGATATGAAGTCATAGGCTCCTGGAACGACTGGACAGCCTCAGTTCCGATGATGAGACGCAACGAGTCTGGCCGCGAACATGTATGGACAGCAGATTTGCCTCTCGCTTCTGGTGGCTTAGTCTTAGTCACCTTTCAAATCCTTCTAGATGGAGATCCAGAGAAAATTCTCCACCCCGGTTGTGTGGCTGCAGGGCCAAACACGCGGGTGTTGGGACCACATCCCTCTGAGCAGCTGGCCCGTTCCATATCGTGGTGTGCTGCTTTAAGTCCTGAGGCTTTGCAAGGGGACACCTGCCGGATTGAGCTTTTCATTTCAGGTTCCTGGCGTGCGGTGTCCTGGTTAGGTCATACCAGCTTGTAGGATGCATTACAAGTTTCCGAAGCGAACCAAAGTCGCTGCGAGACAGAAATTGCCAGTGCTGTCCATGGACTCTACTAGACATACTTGCCTGCATAAACGCTTGTGATCAAAATATATCAAAATCTGCTCGCAGCATCTCGCAGCGTGTGCAAATGTTGGAACTCTCTGTTGCATGGTCATGGTGTGCAAGGTTGTCGAGGTGGAAATTATTGATGACGATGACTATGAAGAGGATCAGGACATGATCCTGTGACCTGTGCATGGGAGCAACCTTCAGGTGCTGAGCCGTTTTTTTCTTTCACTACTTTGCCCGATGGTTGGGTATGTAACGCGTGCATTCCCATGCTTTGTCCTCCTGGCAGGAGTTCTATATGGAGATTTGCTCTGCGGTAGCCACTGGAAATGTAGAAGCTTCCATTGGGGAGAAGAAGGAAGCAACTGTAGTCAATCTGGCAAGTTGCAGCAGCTGTGTGTACAAGTGGAGCGAAGAATGAATTGAGTTGCGGATGCGATCACAAAAAAAACGTGTGAGTTGATGCCAGGTGATTGTGGATGATGACCTTCCTGGTATTCTGGGGTTTGTCAACGAGGAGATCAAAGTGGAGGACCCTGTGTCATTTGTAATGCGCACAAGATCGCGCGAGTGTTTGGTTCGCATGTGCAGACCGTCGGCGCATGCATGGGCAGGAAAGTCCACAGAAGCAGCAGGTGGAGATCAAAATCCGAAGGAAGATGGGCGCTTCAGGACAAGCTGCCCCATCGGAGCTTTCTAAATACCGTTGTCACGTTTACAAGGCGTTTGCTTTGACAAGTTGCTTGCGTGGGTCGCGCCGTGACAGGAACGATTTCCTGCAAGTACAGAACTGAAGATGCATCAGCTCGCAGCCTACACCCCTCATACACATACTGGTTTTTCTGCAAGGGCTGACGGCTAATGAAAGCCGCAGAACCTTGCTTGCATGCAGTAGTCAGGATTTCGTAACCTGCGCCTCTCATGACTCAAGTTCCTCAGGCCAAAGCAGGACCCGACTACACCAAGTTGGAGGGCGAACTGGAACTGCAAGCAGGCGATATGTGCTTGTATGACAAGCTGCCCAGTCAAAGCATCATTGCGGCCACAAACGCCCACCTTTCTGATGCCACGGCTGCAGGACAAATGGAAGCATCTCTGTATGACCTTCTGGCGTGTTTGCATTGGCGAGCATGGGCTCCCACAGCATTTCTGGCTAAACTGCCTTCAGACTTGATCACAGACGGAGCGCTGACAGACTGCGGCTGTAGCTGAAACATAGCAAATCCTGACAAGAGGTCAAAGCTGGCTCTAGCACAGGCAAAAGGTTTCCGTCACGTTGATTTGGCTATTCAGCTGTGCAGCAAATATGGCCAGGTTGATATCATGCCAAAGGGCCGCTATGAGAACACGGAGAAGCCCAGCGCTCAGATTTGGATGATCCAGCGGGGGTCCGGCCAGAGCGCGTTGTGCTACGCGCTTTGGCAGGTCCGACGTGGACGGGACTTCACAGATCGAGATTTCAAAAAAAGGAACACTTTCTCAAGGGCCTGTGAAATTCACACGGCTAGTGCAAAATTTGGTGGGCATGGTCGGAAAGCCCCCCACGTAGGCTGCCAGCGATGTCCAGGAGCCGGTTGGCAGGAGAGCTTTCCAGAACCGATCCACCGACATCAAGCTATTTTGAACCAGGGGTTTGCGCAATTGCAGCTAGAAGGTTGCATGCCAGCGAGCAGTGCTGAAGATCGTGCTGAGCCAGATTAGTAAGGAAGTTCAGACTGGATTGCAAAGCAAAATCCATCGTGGTGTAGGGCTTGTGCCGCTGCTATCGTGGGGAATTCTGGGAGAGGCCTGCAAGTTGTTTCGCAGCTGGCTGGTGGGAGAAGAGGGTGACGCTGACCTGAGCAGATCAGGGCTAGAGTACTTTCATTTTTTCAAGAAGAGGAGCTGGGGGACGAAATCAGTCTAAACATCTCCGGCATTCTGAGCCATGCCGTTACAAAACGCGGATTGGCAAACGCTCAGTCCTTGGAGAACAGGACCAGGAAGCTCAACTGCAACTTCTGCTTCGTTCTGTAGGCTCGAGTAAGATTAGGGCAAAATCTGTCCAATCGACCACTACGTCGGGAGGAGGGCCCCGCATCGGACCTAGTTTTACGCTGCGTTTTAGATCTCGTCGGGCTCGCCACAAATGCCAAACAGGTCCGCAGCTAAGACAAGACTCCTTCCAGACAGTGACGCTACACACTACACCTAACTACCGGAAGCCAGAACTGCGCCAGCAACGCTAGCTTTTGCAGGAAGTCAGAGGATGCATTAGCTGCCTCAAGCCGTAGCACAAACACCGACAAAGGCCACGGCTTGCAAAACTACAAATGCCAAGCAGCTAGTGTGCATTCGGTGTGCACGTGTGTGTGTGTGTGTCTACTGTATATATATATATGTATATCATTATATATCTATATATAGGTATGTACGCCCGTACATATTGAGTCGCGATAGCGGTCAGAGCTGGATCAGGCCCAGCGCATTGGTTAAACCAGAAAATTGAAATCTCAATCCTGAAACAGTGAAACAGTGCATCACCGCAGCAATTCCAACACCTTTCCGCTTGCCAATTGCCGTCTCTGGCCACCTTTGACGGTGGTCTACTTGCGTCCGCATGGCCCAAGCGACAACATCCAAGTGCTTAAACATTAGATTCATTAGACATGCGTGATCATGCACAAACGTCTCTGGAGGGGCATGCTATCAAAGCGCATGATGAAAAGAAAAGCAAGAGATGTGCAGCCCAGCATGTTGAAAACAGCTTTGAAACGCAGGCTTTCATACCGTTTTGCTCTAAGGTTCCGGGTGATCCTGGAAGAGCCGTCTGGAGGAGCAATGCAGTAGATCTGCAGAGAAGCTGCAGTACGGCAACGCCGGCCTGCTCTCATGCCGGCCATTCCCCGTGCTTTGCATAATTGTGCCTCAGGAGTTCGATTCGACGTCAGTACGGATGGTGGTAGCGAGTCGTGCGTTTGCACTGCCGGGGCCCAACGTGTGGTCAATTAGAGCAGGCCTACCTACCAACACACCAGACGCGAGCCCGCTTTTGAATGGCATAATTATGGGTCAGGCGCCACTCAGCTTCTGTGCTCAGGTGTGGATCCTTGCAGATGTCTCCCACAAGCCCTTCATGGACAAGGACGGTTTTCCAAAGGGCTTACACTTTGAACGCGACATGCAATTTTGGCCTCACAAAATCATGTCCCATTGGAACATATCCATCATAGATCAGCCCTTGGTGCAGGTTGTCACAAAACTTGCGCCGAATTGGGACGAAGTGGCTCTGGGCAATGCGGCGTCCAGCTTAGAGAGCTGTGTGGCTGCCTGTGGCCGCTTCGAGCGTATGAGCAGTTTTCAAGGCTTCAGGCTCCAGGTTTGGCAGAGGGCATTTGATGAAATTATGGAGGGGTGTCTCGCTTGGGAGAATGAAGTAGCTAGGAGCTTGTTTTGGGGGACATATGGTGACCCTCCAGTTGAGAAACATGCCAACATGGTCTGAGGCGTGGTTGGACCAGTTCTTTGAAGCGCTTTACTGCCGAGCTCTCGGGAGACGGGACAATGCAGATTTTGGACGGTGTGACGAAAATTTGTTTCCCAAGACTAGGGTAACTATTTGGGGGCCCCATAATAATGATTCTAGTATTTGGGTGTTCATATTGAGGAAAGTGCCAAATTGCTCTTTGATGCTTAAAATTGGCTAAGAGCTTTGAGCACAGGCACATAGCAGTGCAGCTTGAGTTTCATAAACTCAGATGCCCTTTCCATTATCCATGTTCATTTCCATTTGGTGGTCCATTATTTGGGAATTGGGAGTTTTCGGAATATACTTGGGTAGTATAGGGATACTGGAAAAAGAAAATGGAAACCACTATATCATAGTGGGGTGTATCTAAGCTCTGTACAACCCCTACAGATTTCCGTCCGGCTGTAATCCCTACGTAATGCCCTCTAGCCTGTTCGAAAATCCGTGGCAATTCTTGTTGGCCCCCGGTACAGTCCCGGAGACCGAGGTGGGGGTGACAAGGAGGAACAAAGCAAGTCATCTTGGTTCGAGTTTGCCAGGAACTCAGAACAGAAGGGTAGTTTCCGTGACGAGTAGGGGCACCCCAATATATACTCCAAAACATTACAATCCTTACTAGGGGTACTAGAAATCTTCTAATTTGTGGAATGCGCAAGTGCTTTGACAATATCAATTTTGAAGTGTGGCAGAGTTGCGTCTTGTTCTAATGCTGAGGTGCTTCACTTGTTGTCTTTGCCTTGGAAAATAATTTTTGCCCTGGTGCCACCGACCGAGTACTGCGGTGGATGGCCTCATGCTTATCATGTGCGGATTGTCTTGCATGTGTAGCTGGGACAGCCTGCAACAGCCAAATTCGCATCCTACAGCAGGCTTTGTTTCTTCATTGCTTTGGTGCGGTGGCCCAGAGTTGCAGATCCTGTTTAATTGCTTGGATGCAGCATGTGTCATTGCGAAACGAGGTCATGATTGGTTGCGTCACAATTGTCATTGGCGATTTGGCGTCGCTCCTGGGCTGTTCCATGAACGTCAGGGCCTCGAAATGCGCGTTTCGTCAGGTATATTCCACGTCAAAGACATGGCGCATGCAGTCCATGCCTGATTCATGTTTTATCGCTAAACCACTCAGATCAATGACTTGCAGACAGCAATTACGCTCGTGGCCATGGGCACTTCTCTGCTCCAAGCTCAGAGGTCTCGTCATGCAGGGGCGGTGTTGTAGCACAAGCTTATTGTTGACAACGCTGGAGTGGAGCACCATGCGGCAGAGAAGCATCAATCTCAGTGCAAGAAGTCACTGTAAAAGGCCGGACACTTTTGCCTCCAGAACGGCCGCCAGACAGGACAGAGCGAATCTCCATTTTCTGCTTGCCGTCGTGCGGCCCAGCATGGCAAGAAGCGTAATCCGCACACCTCTCTGGACGCCTGCAGGATGAATATGCTGATGCGAGCATCGGAAATGCCAGACACCTTGCATCTGGATGTTTTTGCAGCAACAGCTTAGCAGTTTGGCAGTCTTCAGTAGCTGCGGACTTCAAGGTTACAGGAAGCAACTCCGTGAACGTTTTCCTTGGCATTGGCTTGCCGTGCGCCAGTTCAGCGGTGCTCATAGGGCAGGTAGCAAGATGGCGAAAGGCAAGGTTTTGCGACGGTTTGGGCTTGCTCATGCCCTTGGCTGTGTAAACAGCCAGCAGATGCGCAGCTTTTGGAACTCAAGGTGGATGATTGGAGCCATCTACTGGAACATGCAGGGGCCCACTGCAGAGTGGCAAGCCAAATATCCAGGGCCTTATCCTCAGGACTGCACAGTTCAAACTTGACAGAAGTAAGCAGGTGGCGCGTTCCGGCCTGAACTCGGTACTTAGATGGTCTCTTGATTGGCCAAGGCTAGTGAATACGTATCCCGATGGTGGATTCTTCGCGTGTGCCTGAGTGTTGAGTGTGAATTTCGCGAGCTCGGCTTTTTTGATTGTGCTGCGCCTTTCCACACAGCAGACGACGCAACTTGCCACGTTTTCAGTTCACAAATAGCTTCCCAAACAAGGTCCAAGGAAGCACATCCTGCTAACCAAGGTCAGTTCCGAGGGTTTGGCATTCAGCGTAGGCGTCCAGCACTTGGAGATGGTTTGGGGGACACTGGGGCAGGCCAGCTCGAATAGCATGCATGCTTGAATTTATTGCAGGAACTCAGAGCAAAGTGGTGCTCATCCAATGCTTCGTGCATAGTAGCTTGAGAGATCCCAGGTCTTCTCTTGCTGTGCAATTGTTTGCTTTGGAGTTCTCATCTTCCGCCGGGGACCAAGCGTTTACGGCAGCAGCTTCCCAGGAGCCTCGAGCAGGCATTTTGAGTATCATAAGCTCACTGCTGTTCTGACAGCTTGTGGTTCGCAGCCGGACTGCTCGCATAAGACAACAAATTAATGGCCTGCTTCCAGTGCAAGTAGTAGTTTCTATAGGTGAGCTTGATGTCGTCAATTAATTCTTCTAAGCACTTGTGCGACGCATCAAAGCATATACAGGCCGTTCATACTTTGGTGGCGAGTTGGGCGGGCCCAAGTCAGCGCAGCCATCACCTCAGAATTTGATATACTCGTTGGCATCTCTTCAGCTTTTGCGTCAGTGGAAAGGCCAAGGAAGCAGCCCTGTAGTAGCCATGAAGCTGCGTCTTTCTACACCAGTAGGGCGCGCATGGCAGGTACATCTCTGGCGGCGTGTTGGCTACATTGTGGGTGGAGCGCTCGAATTGAAGCTAGCGAGAGCTTGCCTGTGGTCCACAACAGTAAGGTAGCTCTGCTGGTGCCTAGGCGATCTACATTAGCTTGTCAATTTGGTTCAGCAGCTGAGCAAATGAGGACAAAGCCCGGGTGCTTGCCAATACAGTGTTAATGTCACAGCAGACTTGTTTTGTGCAGATGCAGCCCCGGGCGACTGGTGCTAGGAGCAGATGGCAAGGCAACGCTCATGTTCGCAAAGCGAAGCCACTTCCTGAGATGCGTAGAGAAGTTCATGCAGCATCCCAGTGTCCAACATGACAAATTCCCTCCAGACTGGCAAGTGGGTGGTTGGACGACATTAGTCGACTGCAAACTGTTGCTCTCTATGCACCAGCACCTCATCGAAGCCAAATTATTGCCAAGCAACTAGCATACAGAATGCGCGCGTGTTTCATGCCATCCTCGCCACAAGCAGGACTTATGCAAGCTTATCTGAAGGTAAGCTGCGCATGCACCTAGAGCTGCACCTTCCTTCTTTTCGGAACAACCGTTGCATCCATAGCAGCTGCCATAGCTGCGTGGGTGGACGTCGAATTGTCCAAAACATCCCGGAATAGGATGAGCACTATTTGGGGCGCAAGCTCTTGTGCATGCTCCCATGATCGTTGAAGGGCCTCTCTCTCTCTCGCGCTACCAAATCAAATCAGGACAAGTTTGTGCTGTGACACGTGGTCACAAGATCATGACAACAAGTATGCATGAGCAAAATGCCACAGACGAAATTTGAGTCTCCAGAATAAGTGAAAGCGACCTGGTATGCTCCAAACCACTTTCATTTGTGGCCCCATGCGTCTGCCTGCGCGGCATTGCCAGGGAAATCTACAAGGAGGCAAAAATGCCAGGCTACGGCAGTCTACGTACTCCGCCGGAATCCGCCGGAGTTGTGGCTAGTATGGCCCAATGCGTTATGAAGCACTAAGCAGGCTCCGTGGTGGTGTTATAATTAGTCCGATTTCTGCAGGCCTCCAGTTCAAGATGAGAATGCTTGACAGCACAGTGAAGACATTGGTTGCTCCACTCAGGTGTGTGAAGGCATGGCCAGCAAGAGTTCAAACAGCGCTGAGACTCAGTGCAACAGGCGCTTTAAGGCAGGCCAATATCGCGGCCGATATACATGACCCAGGTGCTTTCATCTCTCTTGGGTCCTGCCGGAGAAGATATGATTTCTACAAGTAGGGTCTTGCGTGCGTGTATCGGCCGCCACGAACCACTATAGGAGACCACATGCAAAGGCATGGCGCTCCAGCTTAGTTTGTTCTATCTTCTCACCGCAGGCTATTCTCCCCGAAGCGGGACGTGGCCTCATACTCCATCATAATTACCCCAATTGCAGACACACCTTGAGTGCCAGGCATGCCTGACTCTGTGTGGCATGGATCCGATTTGCAAAGTCCACGTGCCCAGCACTAATTCCATGAGGAGAGAGGTGGCACAAGCAAGACGTATTGGGTCGTGGGACTGCAGTAAGTCGACCCATCCCCCTCAAGAGCCTGCCATGTAAGGTGATGTCAACAAACCGAAAGACAAGAGCCAGACTTACACCTCCTATTTCGCTTGACCATTCCTAGGCGCGCAATTGCGGGATTGTACGCTCTTGCGTTCATTCGGCAGCCAACTCGGCAGTCTTGAATATGCAGCGCAGCTGTCAAACTTGTCCTGTGACTTTGTTGGTTGGCTGCGTTTCACCCAAAATCCCATGGCCAGGCATCAGATCAGCAATGCAAGTCTGGATTCATGACTGCATTGAACAGGTGTAGTTATATCTAAGGGAAATGTTCGTACGGATGCAGGGTGCCTTAGAGACCAGCTTGGTCAGAGATATTCATAGTATCTGGCCGAGAGCATGAATCTGGAAGTGTGCACTTGAAAGTTGTTGTCTGAGGGTGGTGCTACACGCCTCTCCCCAATCAACGTGGTACTATTCCTGTGGAACCTTAGGCATAAGTGTATGACTGTCTGCATCGTTCGACTGGTTAGTCGCAGCATCTAGTAATCACCAAGCAGTGACTTCAATCGAGATGTCGAGCAAAGGTTCCACAACCCGGAGTAAGGCCAGTTACTTCTGCGCCCTCCAATCTACGTCTCATATTGAGAAGGACATTGCCAGAAAGGATCGCTCGAAAACATGTTATATTTCACCCCAAGAGAGGATATCCTTGATGGGATGATAATTGGGAGATGAGATTCTGAATTATTCCGATTCCTCAATCCAATACGAGATTATAAATCTTATTGAATTGCGGTTTCCTGGAATATTTGTTAACCGTTTTTTATGAGAAGCTATCTCGGAGGTTTTAGGTCCCTTCGTAAAAGCTAGAGGCTCTAAAATCTCCGAGATTTTTTGGTGCTGGCGGCGTGGCCAAAAATCTCGGAGATTTTTGGTCGCGCGGCCCTTGGCTCCGGAGCAGTCTTCTGCGTGATTTATCTCTCCTTGGGCTGCGTAGTTATTCGGGGGAGCGCCCAGACCCGGCGGAGAACTAAAAGGTTCTAGAAGTTCAGGGTGGTCGCGTCTAACTATAGCGATTTATGCGCTCCCCCGAGCCGCTGCGCAGATAGCCCAAGAGAGATAAATGCGACGGAAAGATTGGACCGGATGCAGGGGCCGCGCAAGCCCAAATCTCGCGAGATTTCGAGCCATTTCTCTCTCTTTGGCTGTCTACGCGGCGGCTCGCGTGCAGCCCTCCGGAGCGGAGATCCAAAATCTGTCGACTTGCCTCCGGAGCGGTCTTGCGCGTGATTTATGTGTCTTGTGCTGTCTGCGCGGTTGCTCCAAGGAGCGTATAGACCCGGGGCGGAGAACTAAAATCTTTCAGAATGTATAGGATGGCCGTATTTAACTACGGGGATCTATGCGCTCTCCCGATCCGCCGCGCAGATAGCCCAAGAGAGAGAGAGAGAGAGAGATATATATATATATATATGAGGCGGAAAGACCGGGCTGGATGCGGGTGTAGATAGCCCAAGAGAGATTTAAAGCAAGCGGCAAGACCGGGCCGCATGCGGGGGCCGCGCGACCAAATATTTTCCGAGATTTCGATTCATTTCTCTCTCTTTGGCTGTCTGCGCCACGGCTCCGTGGAACGTGTAGACCCGGAGCGGAGATCCAAAATCTGTCGACTTGCCTCCCGAGCGGTCTTGCGCGTGATTTATGTGTCTTGTGCTGTCTGCACGGTTGCTCGATAGAGCTACGCTCCCCCGAGCCGCCGCGCGGATAGCCTAAGGGAGATAAATGAGGCGGAAAGACCAGATCGGATGTAGGGGTTGCGCGATCCTAAATCTCGGGAGATTTCGAGCTATTTCTCTCTCTTTCGTTGTTTGCGCGGCTCGGCGGCACATATAGAGTTGGGGCAGAGATCCAAAATCTTTCAGAATTTATGAGTTTTCCTCTTTTCATCACGTGCGATCTTATATATTGATTGTTCATGGATCTTCACATATAATCTTATATATTGATTATTCATCGAATTTGTCGTTATAAGATTTCTCTTTCTTATTGATGTAAGCAACAGATCTATTCCAATATTATATCATCTAATCGAAATAAACTCAAAGAATTTTCTTCTAATGAAATTAGATATTGATTAGCAAATATATATTGAAAAGGATATAAAGGATAGGATGATTAATATGGATAGTATTTAAGAAGTAATTGAAGATAATATGAAGATAAGGCGAGAATTAAATATAATTCTTGTATATGATATTCGAAATTTGAATTCTCTCATGAGGATTAATATATGATATGAATGATGATATAGATAGATATAATTTTGGGAGATTAAATCGAAATTCATATTTATTTTCATTGATTTTATAGATAAATATATGAAGCTATTCAAGTTTGAACATTTTTTATATATATATAGATTTCTTGGAATAGATAATATGATATATCTAATAATAAATAATATCTTCGTGATATATTTCTAAATTTAGGATTTATTTCGATTCTATAAAGCATTGGAATATTTTTGAATATCTGATGGTGCAAATATATCGTCCGGCAATATATTCAATCGATTAATAAAAAGAGATGTATTTCTATTTAGATGAAAAATTATTATGTTTTCTTAAATGCATATTGATAAATTATAAGAAAAATATAGGTAATAAATCATTTTTATCCGAGAAGAGTAAGATATTATT